TTATCATTAAGATATACTGTTGAGTAGGTACAAACATACATGCATGTAAAAGAATGGGATTCTTTACGCTCATTTGGGGATACTTTTATTTATTGGGGATTACTTTTTATTTATTTACTTATATATGTCTTTTTGAGACAGGGTTTCCCTGTAGCTCCAGCTGCCTGGAGACCAGGCTGGCCTCGAACTCACAGAGGGTCCACCTGCCTCTGCCTTCCAAGTGCTAGGATTAAAGGCGTGCACCACCACGCCCGGCTGGTTCATATATTTTATATTAGTTTGAAGCATACTGGAAGTGAATGGAAAGTTACACACTTTTTGTGAAATTAAGGGAAAAACCATCAGCACATATTCACTTATGCATAGACAGAAATCTAAAAGGAAAGAACATCAAACAAGAAGTAACTTACTTTAGATTTTCCTCATCTTATTGATTATAGAGTCACTGAATACAAACAGCAAAATAAATTGCAATCCTGGCTGTAAGTGGAGCATTCCAACAGTTCCGAAAAGCAATGACCCCATTTGGCTTCTGTCCTTCGAAGTCATTAGTGCCATTTGTACTGTGAAGGACGTGGCCACATTTCATAGCCCTGGGATCTGACAGGGACCAGGACTGAATTCCTAGCCATGACGGACCTGCAAAACCCGCAGGGTCTGAGTGTGGACATTTTGTCTGCCACAGTTTGACCACGGAATATAAATCACAGGCTGTGAAAGCAGGAGCAGAAGGCAGGTTCTAACCTGCTTAACTGTAAGCAGATCTTGAAGGTACAACTGCCACCATCCCCCTCCCACCTACCTCCAACCCCGCCCCTGCCCAGCGTCCTCCCAAAACTGTGTTTCTGGTCCCTTGGCACACAATTCGCTGGAACAAATCTCTACAGCTACAGTGGGTTGCAAGGTTTGGAAGAAGAGAGGCTTCTAAATACAAGTGACCGTGCATGACGTTACTGTGGTGTGGTGGGCTTGAGGTAAAAAGGCTCCTAGACTGCCTTTCAGTTCTAAGTAATTTAGGGAACAGAAACAGAAGTGTGAATGGAACTCTGTTTTCTTTACAGAGTGCAGGGGATTGAACCCAGGGCCCCTGCTCATGATTGCTCATCTGCAACCCCTGCTCATCGTTGCTGAGCCATCTCTGCAGCCCCTGGGCGGCGTGACTCTTTATCTTCGCCCACATCATCGATGCACTTTAGAACTTTAAACTCCTCAGGGGCAGATTATTCGCACTGGCCCACCCTAGATGCGTCTCAGG